AATCCAGGTCTTCCACAAAGGGGGAAGGATCCAATTACTTGAGCCATTACTGCTAAAGGAGGGAGCTGGATTCAGAAGCCAGAGTTGAGTACCGAATCTAGGCACTCCGATTTAGGACATGGTCATCTTAACCTCTAGGCCAAACGCCTGCCCTATTTCCTAAGTTTTAAACTGTGCACCATTCAGAATAGGATGATGAAATCTCACACTCTGCTGCTCCAGGCCACTGTGATGTGAATCATCCATTTGTACATGCTACTCAACCGTTAGTTACTTGGTAGTCATCTTGGTTATCAGATCAACTGTCTCAGTTTTGCAGTGTCTGTAATCAAGTAACCTCATTTTACTTAATGGGAACAGGGCATAAGAGTAGTGATGCTGGCAATTCATATATGCCAGGTAGAAGCCATAAAGTGTTTCCTTTAAGGGAAAAGGTGAAAGTTCTTGACTTAAAAAGAAAAAACAAGTATGCTGAAGTTGCTAAGATCTACAGTAAGAACAACTCTATCCATGAAACTGTGACAGAGGAAGACAAAATTTGTGCTAGTTTTTCTGTTGCACCTCCAATTGCAAAAGTTATAGCTATACTACAGATTGTTCAGTTGAGATGCAAAAGATATTAAATATGTTGGTGGAAAACATCAACAGAAAACATGTTTCAATTGATGGGCAATGTGTTACACCAGAAAGCATCAAGCCTATGTGAAGACTTTAGCAAGGGATCCCATGAAACAAACAACACCAAACCATTTACTATGAGTAAGGGATGGTTACAGTTCAAGAATAGGTACCTATTATTGCATAGCATTTGGTACTCTCCACAGTTTCAGACATCCACTGGGATTCTTGGAATGCATCTATCTGTGGATCAGAGAGAATTATTGTAATTCTGAATTGAAATAAATTTATGTGTACAGGTTTATAGTAGCACTATTTATAGATGAGCAGAGTAATGATTAAATAAACTATGGTAACTTTCTGGAATAGAACAAAATACAAGTATTAAAAGAGTAGATAGACAGATGCTAAACAAAAAAAAACCCAGTGCACAAGAATTATAGATACATGTAAAACAAAGATTTGCAGAAGGAAAAAAGATTAAAAGGAAAACTCCAAAACATCAATAGTTATTACAATTGAGTGGTGGGAATATGGGTGGTTTTATGTTCTCTGATTACTTCCCCATATTTTCCAAAAATTTTAAAATAAGCATGAACTATTTTTATAATAAAAAGGAAAACATGATTATTGCTTTTAAAGTCCTAGCCTATGCCCTAGGGAATGTATGAAGTAGCAATAACAAGAACACATAAACAAAAACAAATGTATAAATTCAACTAACAGAATATTTACACTGTCTGCAACTAAAACGGGGTAAAGTGCACAAGGCCTTTTTGTTATTAAGACATAATACATTAGTGTATATGGGTGCCATTCATTAATGGGTCAGTATGAGGAACTAGTAATTCTTCCAGTCATAGAGAATTTTAGGGAGGATGTTTTACTTCAGTAGGTATTTGACTAATGGAAGGGAGAAGAAAAAATGGTGAAATATCACGGTAAAATATCAGAAATAAACATTTTTTCTGTTTTCAGGTGTTTGGTATGGAAGTCCTTAAGTTGAGACTGAGATAAGATAAAAGTTGTGATGAAGTCAACAACAGGAGTCACTGTGCACTTACTCCTCATGTAGGATCTCTATCCTTAATGTGCTGTACATTGAGATTTAATGCTATAACGAGTACTCAAACAATATATTTCACTTTGTGTTTCTATGGGGGTGCAAACTGTTGAAATCCTTACTTAATGCATACTAAACTGATCCTCTGTAAAAAAAAAAAAAGAAAAAAAAAAAAAAGAAATTATCAATTCCCAACTTGACTCTCACTGGGATTAAACATGACAATAGGTCTGCTCTGATTTCATCATCATTTAAAAAAATCATCTATTATTTTTCACTTTATGTTCCTGTGTGGGAGCAAACTGTTGAAATCCATACTTAATGTATACTAAGCTGATCTTCTGTATATTAAGATAATCGAAAATGAATCATGATGTGAATGGAAGGGGAGAGGGAGTGGGAAAGGGGAGGGTTGTGGGTGGGAGGGACGGTATGGGGGGGAAGCCATTGTAATCCATAAGTCGTACTTTGGAAAATTATATGCATTAAATAAAAGTTTAAAAAAAAAAAAAAAAAAAAAAAAAAGAAATACAGAATGTTTTCAAATTAAAAAAAAAAAAAAGTTGTGATGAGTAAAAAAAGGGAAGTACATATTGGGTGAAGAGACTGCCACAGCCAAAAAAGGCAATTTACCAACTTCAGGGCCTTAAAAAGGAAGATGCAAAAAGTAATGGGTCAGAAAGCACACATGGGCTTGGAACTTAGTGGAGTGGTGCTGGGTAGCAGGGAGAAATTTGAATAGAAGGCTGGTGCAAAAAAATGAGAAAGGGTATGTAACCAAATATATGCATCTATTATTATCTCCTTGATATGGGATAATCTCCCTTATTATTGTCACACACCCAGCATCTTGAGGTTTCACAAACATAACAGCTCTCACTCTTGGAAAAAACTGTAATATCATCCATTTGCATACTTGTACTTGAGAATGTGGGATCTTCAAGACAGCAATGGCATAAAGCATGGAAGTAATGGCTTTATAGAAATCTGTTTCCTTCGTTTTCTCCATTCTGTTTCTAGGGTCAATGCAAGTATTTTTGCAGTTGAATGGAATAGCAGCTCTTAAGAAATAAAAAACAGATGTTAGAGGAAGGCATTCCAGAGTGAGTCAGAAGCCTTAAGGGCTTGAAGCACAAAGCTTGCTCTACACTTTTCCTTGCTGAAATCTCGACAGATGCCCACATCCTCAACTCTGCCTAGGCAGCACCTAGTCTACAGTAGACCTAAAAATGTCAAAATACATTTACTCCCAAGTCTGAACGTCCTGTGGGAAGAAAAGAAAAGCTTGGCTGACCTCAAAAGGAGTACACTTAGATAAAGGAACATATTCTTCCTGATTCACTTCTCAGATCTAGAAAAATATGTGCATATAATCTTTTGGGTAAATATTAATCATATAAAACCAACCTCTTGAAATAGAACTGAAACTAAATTTTCGCAACTTTCTGTTTACTAAAGTTGTTCAGAATCAAGTGAAGTTATTTTACATTAGAAAAATTCTAATGCCCATTGGAAACTTATATTAAACATAATAAGTATCATACTTTCTTGGAAATGTTAGCTAGAGTTTCTATAGGAACTTCACGATATCACATTCTTAACACACTTGTGGTATACATTTTTGAAATAACATGCAATTTATGGTACCAAATTACAACTGATGTGCAATTTGTGGTATGTACCTGTGTTTTTGAGACAGAATAGACATGACTATGCACTAAATTGAGGAAATATAAAAATATAGGTAAAATGTATTTGTATCATATTCCCATATGATAAGTTTACAATAATTTTTAAAATCTGAAAGTAGTCCTTAATTTGTTTGTAAAGCTTTTACAGTTCTTTTGTACAGAGGTTTTGTTGAAGTAGAGTCATTAACATGAGTTAATCCGTCATTCCTTTACAATGCTCCATTGTGGACAGCTTCCCTTTATTGTAGGTAGTATAAAAAAAGTATAAAAGGTGTATGTATCTCTCCATATATTTACCTAAGAATAATTCCTTTTCTGAAACTCAACTGTTCTGTTATCTATTGCTGAGAGACTACTGGAAAACTCAGTGGCTCAAAGCAGCAATCATTTCCTTATTTACTTATGATTCTGTTGTGTGGGCAGTGCTTGGAGGGAATGGCTTGTCTCTTATTCCCAGTGCCATTAACAGTGAGGGGCTGTTGGAATGGGCCATAAGTTTAGGGTCTCTGTTCTCAAGCTCTGATGAATTCAACAGTTATCCATGTGATTTTTTTATGTTGTTAGTTAGCTTGGGTTTCCTCATGCTAGTCCAACTTTCAAGAGCAAAACTGATAGTTGCTAAGTATTTTCAAAGACTAGGCCAGATACTGGCACAGTGCCACTTTAGCTGCATTCTATTGGTTAAAGCAGGTCACAGGGCCACAGCCCAGATTTAGTGTGGGAGGAACTCCACAAGGAAGTGAATGCCAGAACACAATTCATAGGGGACCATCTTTGGAGGCCAGGGTTCCCATATTAATGTTTGTGAAAGAAACTATAAACATAAAACTGAATCTATTTCCTATCAAATACCCAAAAACTAATGAATGCTAACTTAATTATTATTCACTATACAGAAATCTACATTAAAATCTTTCTGATTTTTCCATGGTTTCTCTCAAATATGCCATATTCAAATTCTCTGAGCACTACAGTTTATTCATTAGGCTCTAGCATGAGTCTCAAAATGTTTCCAGATGTTTGAATTCTCAAATCCAGAAAAATTAAGATAGAACTAATTTATATATTTGAGAGTAGCCAACTTTGCAATTTTTTTATCAACTAAGAACATTATAAAAAGTATCATCCTCTATAACTCTTGTTTCTAAAAGAAAGTATTTTTAATTTTTAGAAAAAGTAGTAAGGCCGGCGCGCGGCTCACTAGGCTAATCCTCTGCCTTGCAGCGCCGGCACATCCGGTTCTAGTCCCGGTCGGGGCACTGGATTCTGTCCCTGTTGCCCCTCTTCCAGGCCAGCTCTCTGCTGTGGCCAGGGAGTGCAGTGGAGGATGGCCCAAGTGCTTGGGCCCTGCACCCCATGGGAGACCAGGATAAGTACCTGGCTCCTGCCATCGGATCAGCGCGGTGCGCTGGTTGCAGCGCGGCGGCCATTGGAGGGTGAACCAACGGCAAAGGAAGACCTTTCTCTCTGTCTTCTCTCTCTCGCTGTCCACTCTGTCAAAAAATTAAAAAAAAAAAAAAAAGAAAAAGTAGTGAAGAGAATTTCAGATTAAAGGAAAGTTTTAAATTAGATCTGTTTATAAATTATAGACTAACTACATCTTTGGTCAGACAGCTTTGTGAATTATACAAAATATGGAATGCTTCACAAACTTTCTTATCATCTTTCGCAGAGGCCATGATCACCTCTGTATCATTTCAATTTCAGTTGTACATGTGCTGTTCAAGTGAGCACTATGTCTTTATTCTAATTTTGCTGCAAGTTATAAAAATTCCACCAATGGCTGCCACTGCTACTTTTTTGTTTTTAAAAAAGATTTTATTTATTTATTTGACAGCTAGAGTTACAGAGAGAGGGAGAGACAGAAAGAAAGATATTCTAAGATATTCTATTTGCTGGTTCACTCCCCAAATAGCAACAATAGCTGGAGCTGGGCTGAACTGAAGCCAGGAGCCAGGAGCTTCTTTCCAGTCTCCCACATGGGTGCAGGGGCCCAAGCACTTGGGCCATCTTCTACTGCTTCCCCAGGCCATAGGAGAGAGCTAGATCAGAAGAGGAGCAGCCAGCACCCTTATGGGATGCCAGTGCCACAGGCAAGAGGCTTAGCCTACTACACCATTTTTTCTTGGACCCAGTGTTTAGGAACCTCTAGTCAAGACGGTGTTAACTGAACATTGTTAATGCCCTTTTTACTCTGAACTTCCTAACATCATTTTACATCTTTCCCTAGGGATTGTAATCACATTGAAAATTCTATATTCTTTCTTTTATTTTACATTACATGAAATCATTTAAATCTGTGCCAGTGCAAATAATACAACTGTTAATGCTTGTTCCTGTATTAGAATTGGATAGTGATAGCACAGTTAGTAGTTATGAGTAGGAGTTTTACAGTCTGTCTCTGTTCCAATCTGCATCCATCATGACTTAGGGCAAGTTAACATAGCCTTTTTGTACCTCAGATTCTCATCTGTGATGGATGCATAATCATCGCAGAATTGCTTCTTGGCCTTTTGGCTAAGATCAAGTGAAGAAATACTAGGTGTTGGAGCCAGTGTAACAGTGTAAAGGGTAAAGCCACCTGCAGTGCCAGCATCCTATATGGGTGCTGGTCTGGTCCTAGCTGCTCCACTTCCAATCAAGACCTCTGCTATGGCATGGGAAAGCAGTAAAAGATGGCCCAAGTCCTTGGGCCCTGCACCTGCGCGGGAGACCCAGAAGAAGCTCCTGGCTCCTGGCTTTGGATCAGCGCAGCTCTGGCCATTGTGGCCAACTGAGGAGTGAACCAGTGGATAGAAGACCTCTCTCTCTCTCTTTGCCTCTCCTTCTCTCTATGTAACTCTGACTTTCAAATAAATAAATAAATAAATCTTGAAAAAAAATACTAGGAAGAAATACTAGGTGTAAAGCGTAAAGCATATGGAGTCGGGCCCAGCACATGGTAAATAATCAGTATGCAATGTAATATTATATTCTTCTTTTACTTATACATGTCATTAGTATTTTGCAGTTATACTTAGGATCTTCACATACTTTAAGGGTAATCTCAAATATCCACAATGCTTTGGAAGAGACTATTCACAATGGGAAAATAGAATTTTAAATTTGGAAGGGAATCTAAATACCATATGATTCTGTCCTATTACAGGTAGCAATTTTTCAAATTCAAAATATTGATATAGAATTCATCTGTCATGGTAAAAGACAAGTAGTAATGTGTTACAATCATCGAATACTTTGTAGATAAGTAAAATATATAGGCTCTATGTATGTTTCTGGTAGCTTTGCTGGTATGCTTATCATTCCCACTTATATTTATCAACACCAGTCACATGTTGTCTTAGCCACCCATTTGTGGCCTTTTTCATTTGTGTCTAAGTGGAAAGCAACATAAGATTCAGTTCTCTGAAAAACAACAAAATTCCTAAGACTACCTAAAAATGGTAATAAAATAAAGGACAAGTAGAGTTTAGGAAATTTATTTTAGGGCAACTGCCAGGTTTATTTTAAGCTCTATGCTTAAAAATAAATCTAATTCACATGACTGACTTAAAATACTGCAGCCAGAAAAGTCACTGCAAAAGCATTTAATGAAATACCTGAAAGTTAGTTGTCATCTTTGCTATGATTTTTGTGGACTTACTTCCCATCTGGATTTATACAGAGGATTTCATATGTAAATATTTCTTGCATCTAATAAAATAAAAATAGAAATAGACATTTTTCAAACACTATGTTATCCTAACCTCTGACTCACATTATAAGGTTGGTTGAGTGGTCAGATGCAGTACAATCGTTTTTATGCAGAAAGACAACTGGTTCATTTGTAGCATTTTTCCAGGATGGGGTAAAAGATCTATGTTTTCTATTCCTAGCGATCTTTAATCTGACCTATGAGCAAAAATAAAGACTGATTAGGTTACCATAGATTTCCCGCAGAAAGCAGTGGAGAACAATTATTCCCAGGTTGAGTAATACATCTTTCACCCCCTCACACCACAGTCGATGAAACTACTGAACTAGCAGGGAAATGCCCGTGATTTTCATGTCTTACATTAGTTCTGGTAAAATCACAATCGTAAATTTCGCTCATTCCCCATCCAGAAGAACCTGGGGGGAGGGCTTTCGTGACTTGAGAGCACATGAACGACTTAATATTGATTTTTCTCCCTCTGCGATTTTCTTTTTATAAGATTAAATGACGCTTGACTTCTGTCAACTTTATCTTCCGGAGTCAATATTTTAACTCTCCCTTAACCGGCACGCCCGGCTTGGACCGACTGAATGCTTGGGGCTCACGTGGGGCGGAAGATGAGTACCACTGGTGCTAAAGAGCTGGGACCTACCGAAGAAAACACATCTTGCCTCAAACAGAATTTAGTTCCACAATAAACAAGAATAACGAGCACCTTTTCCTTCTTGTCAGAGTTCTCTGGACGCGCTGCAGCCCAGAGAAAGCCGAGCCGGGGCAGCTGCCAGGGCAGCGACCAGACACAGCGAGAGCCTCGCCCCCGCTCTGACCTCCAGGACCGCCCCAGAACCCTGAGGGACTCCCCAGAGCCGGCCGGGGCGAGGACGTTCGGCCCGCCGAGCCATGTGCTCCTCCCCGCTGCCTGCCTTCTCCGCGCGCCCGCGAGGCCTCGGCCGCGCCCCGCGCCCCGCGCCCCGCCCCGCCCTGCCCTGCCGAGGCGCCCGAGTGCGCGCGCGCGGGGCCCCGGCTGGTTCCCCTTCCGAACGTCCGCGCCCCGCATGCGCAGTCGGCGCCGGCGGTCTCCGTTTGTTTGAACAGGAAGGCGGACATATTAGTCCCTCTCAGCCCCCCTCGCCCCACCTCCCCCAGGCATTCGCCGTCGCGACTCGCCCTTTTCCCGGCCGGGACTGCAGCCCCTCCCAGAAGCTCCCCCATCAGCAGCCGCCAGGACCCGACTATCTGCTGTTTCACCGCCCGCTCTTCCAGCCTTTCCTAGTCTCCATCGGGCACCGACCTCGCCCTGCCCCGCCGGACACCGCGGCAGCCACCCCAGCAAGCGACGGGACAAAATGGGAGAGTGAAGCTGTCCCGCGAGGACCACCTCTTGGCCGAGACCGATCGGTGCGTCGGGCCGGGCCGAGTGGAGCTGGGGATGCGGCGCTAGACCGCCTACAGCGCCTCGGAGCAGAGCGGGCCCGTGCCGTGGCCCAAGCGGCGGCTGCAGCTGGCACAGCTCCTCACCCGCCCTTCGCTTTCGCCTTTCCTCTTCTCCCTCCCCGGCCGCCCCGAGGGAGTCTCCACCCTGCTTCTCTTTCTCTCCCTTCTGCTGCCCATCCCGGGACGGGAGCCCCTCCGTGGCGAAGGTGGCCGAGGCCCGCTAGGCTGAAGCACCTCGCGGGAGCGACGAGGCTGGTGGCGACGGCGCTGTCGGCTGTCGTGAGGGGCTGCCGGGTGGGATGCGACTTTGGGCGTCCGAGCGGCTGTGGGTCGCCGTTGCCCCCGGCCCGGGGTCTGGAGAGCCGAGGTCCCCTCAGTGAGGGGGAGGAGGGGGAACCGGGCGCACCTGGTGACCCTGGGGTTCCGGCTCCTCCGCCCGGCGGCTGCGAACCCACCGCGGAGGAAGTTGGTTGAAATCGCTTTCCGCTGCTGGTGCTGGTACGAGGGTATTGTCACAGCAGCAGCAGCAACATGTCGACTGGGGACAGTTTTGAGACTCGGTTTGAAAAAATCGACAACCTGCTGCGGGATCCTAAATCGGAAGTGAACTCGGATTGTTTGCTGGTGAGTAGTGAGTGCTGGTCTCTTCTGCTACCCCGGGGTTCTGCGTGGATTGCCTCCCTCTCGCTTTCAGTCGAGTTAGCCGCCCAAGGCGGCCTCAGGTGTGCAGAATCTGTATGGAAAACGCCAGATTTCTGTCTCCCTAGAAATGTTGGGAGTACCACAGAAATCTGGCGTGGCCCTTTTTACCATTTGACCGGCTCGGTGCTAACGACTCTCCGAACTTTTAGTTCTGACTCAGCTCATCCGTGCACAAAAGATACTGCTGTTGCAGGCATCATACAAAAAGTTATCACGCGTCAGAGCTGCTACCTCTATAGTTTGTTGAATGGCGATTTTAGTGGGATTAATCGTCCTGATCGGTTTGACAGTAACCTCGGCAAGATTACTTTGCATTTACAGAGACTTAAGGGGTTTACTTTTTAGACTTGGAAGTGACTAGAGAATCGATATTGAAGAAGTGATTTTTGAGTTAAAATGTCATAGGTGACGAGTCAGAAGGAACTCTGCCGAACTTTTAAGTGTAAAAAGTCAAGATAACTGATCATAGGTCATCATCATGTTAACTTCTTTTACAGTGTTACTGGTTACAAAATTACCACACAGATATTACAACTGCCTTTTTTGGTAGTGTTGTACTTGAACTTGTCATTTGAAAAGCATTTCGAGGAGGTTTTTATGCTATGAAAAATCACCAAAATCGTTTTTTGAAAATCATTCAGTGGTTGAAGGCATATGCAGTTATCTGTAATTAATTGGGATTAAGCCTGGTCAGTTTCTTCTAATATCAATAGTTGCACATTTTGTGTTTCTCCTTTTACTTTATTGAGCAACTAAAAATTAGTAATTTTTGTCTGAACAAGAGAACATACTTTCTAAAATAAAGTTTCAAGGAATACGTGTATATGTCTAGGATTTTACACTGTCTAAAGATAATTAATGTTAGGTGTGCACAATTTAGGGGATTAAAATTAGGGAGCAAAAT